CCGCGGGCCCGGGGTCGCTGCTCCGCATGTTCGCGGCGCCGTCGCGCAAGGCCGCGGCGGCCCGCGTCGCGCGGGGGCCCCGGGGCTTCGACGTCGGCGCGCCCGCGCCCGTCGCGGAGGCGGACCTGGAGCCGCCGCGGCCGCTCTGGGACCTCTCGGACGCGGGCTGCCGCGCGGGAAGCAACCAGTGGCGTGGACCGGTCCAGCGAAACTTCGGACCTCTCTCTCTCGGTCGCATCCGAGTCGTCGCGGCCGATTTTTGGACGGGTCGTTGTTCTCTCGGCGAGTTCTGAAAACCGATGTCGAGACCGTGCGACTCCATGCAGATTGGAGTCGTGTCGAATATGTGTGTTTCCTGCGCAGGCGGGCTGGCTGCGCTCCGCGCTCGCGGGCATCCGGGACATGGAGCGGCGCTGGAGGGAGGCGAACGCGCCGGGCCTGCGCGCCGCCGCGCGGCGGCGGGCCCGGCTCGCGGGCGCCGGCGGACAGACGCGCCGGGACGGGACGACGCTCGGGCTCCTCGCGGCGCTCGGGGGCACCTTCGACCTCGACGTCGTCGCGTCGGACCCGGCGAGCGGCGCGGAGCGCACGCTCGACACGCTCTCCTGGCGCCAGCTCGCGTCCCTCGCGCCGCTGGAGCGCGTCGGCGAGCTGCCGCAGTCGCCCGCGGTCGCCGCGGGCCTCGAGCGCGGCGGCGCCGTCGCCTGGGGCGCCGGGGACCGCGCGGAGCACCACCTCCTCCTGCTCCACGCCCTCGCGGCGCTGGACCCGGCGGCGCGCTTCTTCGACGACGCCGGCGCGCCCGCGCCCGCGGCGCCGCCGGGGCCCGCGCCCGCGGCGTTCGCGTTCCCGGACCTCGCGCCCGCCGAGGGCGCGGCGGGCGACTCCACGTTCGTCGCGCTCCGCCGCTCCTCCGTCGCCCGGGCGCGCGCGGTGCGGCGGGACGCGGGCAACGCCAAGCTCGCCGCGGGCCGCGGCAAGCTCGCCGCGCTCCTCGCCTTCCGGGCCGCGGCGCCCGCGCCCGCGCCCGCCGGCGCGCCGTCGCCCGCGCCCGCGCCCGCGCCGTCGCCCGCGGCCTCGCCCGCGCCGTCGCCGTCGCCCGCGGCCGCGCCGTCGCCGTCGCCGTCGCCCGCGGCCGGGCTCGGCGAGGCGCCCGTGCCGCCCCTGGACTGGTGGGACGAGCCGCCGTTGTATTAACTTACCGTCGGGGGCGCCGCGGCCGCCGGCGAGGGGGCCGGAGCTCGTCACGGTCCGCGTCTTCGAGGACGCGCGGCCGCCGACGGACGTTCGTGGCTGCGCCGGCACGACACTTACGCCGACTCGAGCGCTTCGCTCACGCGGCGGCGAGCCTGAGGTCCGCGAGGAGGAAGACCCTCGTCCCGCGCGCGTCCGCGGCGCGGAGCGTCGCGGCGACGGCGTCGCCGGGCTCGGCGGCCGCGAGCGCGCGCGCGGCGGCCGCCGGCAGCGCGCGGCGCGGCGCGAGGGCGTCGAGCTCGCCCGTGTCGTCGACA